TTTATTGTCTGGTAGTGTAGATTTTCAAGCATGTTCTTATTACACATTTGTTCCTTAGCACAGAAGGCTAACTATTGCCTCTAGGACAGTTGTATCTATTACATGTACTCAATGCTCATCAACCGAAAGTAGAAATTGGGGTTTTATAGACTAAGTTAATGCAATAAAAACTTATATCTTATTTCAAAAGAGTGATCCAGTAAACTTTGTAAAATATTTATTGTTAATTACATTTTGTCGTAAGAAAATATGCCTAATAATATTTTTTTCAGTAAAGGAAGGAAACTGAAATTTTTACTAAAATCTGTATGATACAATTAGTTTAATTGTATTATTATTTTCTTTTTAAAAAAATCCATGGAATGTGTTTAGCCTGTTATTTTTGATTTCTTTTTCCGTGTAATTTTTTAAAGAAAACTAGACTTTAAAAAATTTCGAAGCATCATTTTTAATGTTGCCTCAAAATTAAGCAATGCTAATTATGAATTTTTGTTACATTTTAAGTTATATATTAAAGATTATTTTACTTTTAAGTCTTATTTAAACTGAAGTTGCTAATCCATTTAGCTTACGTTCAAAAATCAGAACGAACAAATTTTATGATATTTACAAAGAACCTTGCAAAAAAATTAATTTACTAATAATTTAACAACTAATAATTAATATTATAATAATATAAATTAATATTATAATAATTAATAATAATAATTAATATTAAAACATAATTAATAACTAATAATTTAACAACGCTTTAAGCATTCTTTTTTATTTCTGTATCAATTCCTACAAACAATGTTTCAAAATAAAGCATTTTACTAATTTATTAGAAATCAATTATGTAGCAATGTTACATTACTTGCCTTACACCAAGCTCTTCAAGTACGTATTCTGTGTAATGCAACAGTTATTGAAATCATTTTGCTTTCTTGATATGCGTCTATAAAGACTTATGTGAACAAGATGTAGGCTGAGTAAAGAAAATGATTCTTTCCTTTAAAATCTCTGAACTCCACCTTTCAAAATGCCCATTCTCTTTTAAATATAAAATTTAACAAAAATAGATTTAAAGTTAAAATTTAAACAAAGATTCATTCGGATATTTACCTCTCTTTCACATTTACTTGTTGCATTTCGAGCTTAGAAATACTAAATTTTCAAACTGATAGAAAATTCAATGTTAAAATGAATTCAATGTTAAATTCAATGTCTGACATTTGAAAAAGAATTGCTGAAAACAGAAAATATGTTATAGGACTTTTCTCCAAGATATAAAATTATTTTGTCTTAGGGCAGATAAAAGATGTTTTAAGAATAAAACTTAAATAACTAAATGATAATAAGGAAAAAAAATTAAAGGCACCGTAATATATAAAATAAAATAGAAAAATAAATACTCAAAATTTTGAAAACATTTCTGTTTTGTGAAGAAAAGGATTGGAAGTAAAGTCTTTAATTTAAATTAATATATTTTGATGAACGTGCAAGGCTTCGCCCCAAACAAATTCCATCTCTAAAGAAGATTTTTGCATGATTTTTAATGAATTTGAGAATGATTACAGATCTAGCAGTGATTTGCACTGAATGATTTGCTTCGTTCCTAACACTTATTCTTCATTATCATAAAATTATGAGGCTGCTTTAGTTTGACCGATGTATGTTAAACGGTTTCCAAAAATTTTTTAAATTATTTAAATATATATGTTACATAGATACAAAAATGAATGTAATGATATTAAATTAAAAATATTCTGTATAAGTATAAATCGAATCAAAGCAAAATATCGTAAATTATAAGTTAATATGTACCAAGTGACAAGAAATCGCATGACCGGATAAAACCGGCCATGATGCTTAGAGGGTTAACTTAACTATATGATCATCGAAAAGCTTTGCTTCCGTTCGGCAAAATCCAAACAGAGCTTATTTTTGACTACATATAGAATCAGGTTTCGCTTTATGCTTTTAGAGTTAGAAATTAGGAACAGGGCTGTCAAAAAGTACATTAGTCCAAAACTGATTAGACAGTCTCCTTTTTGCATTAACTTGTCGTCACTCAAACAAGCCCCAATAGAAACTACCACTGATGAATAGTGGGCCAGGCCTAAATGCGGAGCAGGGCTGTTCGTGACACAGACGATGTTTATCCAGTGAGTGAGGGAAATATTTAGAGAATAAGCTACCAGGTTGAACACGAGACTTTCCCAAATAGGACAGAGGGCCGATTGCCAACATCCCGCTGACGAACCCTCTGAGCCTTCAGGGATCTAAAATAGAATCAGATACAAAATACAAAAGTCACATCTCTCCCTTCTTCCGTTCGCATTGCGGTTTGGACCGGCTCTCCATTGGCTCAAGAGTGCTTCCTGGTGGCGAGACTAGAATTTTACACCTACAAGAAATAAAGAAAATTATGACACCCTTTTTTTTATTCGTTACCTTTGAAAGGTTTATAATGGCAGCAATATAAATCTCCAGAGAATATTTCCGGAAGTCTTCCACATGTTCTCAAGTTTCCGGGTCCTGCGGACTTTGCGAAAAATTTCCAAAAATTTCCAGTTGGACTAGTTTTGCTAAAATAATATATTAATTTTCTTTTAGGTTAGATTTGTTAATGCTTTTGCTGTAGGTATCGGTATAAGTTTTCGTAGAATCGATTTTTTTAATTACCTCTTCTCAAAGTGCAGTAATTAGAAAAATTAGAAAGGAAAGATGAAAATTCGCAAACACAAATTCATACAAATTGTTTCCACCATTCTTCATGAACTGATATTGAAGTAGCTCGTTAATTTACTGCTACTGTAACTTTAGAACTTCTTTGACTGTGCCGCCAAGATATTAACTATTAAAAATGCTTTCAGTGTCTTTAAACCACAGAAGAGCTTACATTAAAAATATGCACCTGGTTATTTTTACCCGTCCTTAAATGGCCTGAATCTATCAATAATTCTCATGTGTATTCAAGTATTATAGTATGCAGGTGCATTGCAAAATTTAATTGCATCGAAATTACTTTTCGGGTTTCATATGCAAATCAAAAAACACTTTAGAACAGTCATTTTTATGATGTTAATGTTGATGTACAGATGATACTGCCGTTCCGCTTTTTACGATATACTAACCCAGAATTTTTCTTTTAATGTATACCGAATGAGTATTTCCGAAATTTGTTTAACGAAAAAAATTGTAGATGTTTGTTTTGCTGTTAATTAATGGAAGCTGACTTAAAAACGTTACTAGAAGCACAATATTTTGTAGCTTGTATCATCAACTATTTTAGGAGAAAGCATCTTGTTAGGTTGTGTTACCTATACAAGTATTTTCTAGACAGCTGCATTCTAGCCAATCGTCAGTTCGTTTATTTTCTTGCGGATAAGTTTTAAAACTTTAGGGATGAGTTTAAACGCGCGTGCCAAGTACAACTCTTGGCAAACTTTTAAGACTAAAAGAGTAGTACGTAGTCATATATCAACTACGTTTTCCTAACAAGTTTCCTTTATTTTTTAACTTTTTACTTTTTTACTAAAATAACTTATATTTACGTATAAATGAACAATTCTTTCCTTATAAATGAGTTACTTTCTCTTTGAAACCTTAAGTGATACTAATGCTCGTTGAACCATTTAGACAACCAGTTGCTTAGTAAGCAATAATAATATATTTTTTACCGGTTACCAGATTCGGAACAATGAGACATTAAACATACAGACATTTTGTAAAAGAGTGTAGTTATATATAAAAAATAAAGGTAATAAGGAAAATTATAAATTGTAAATTCATATAAGTAACAGCAAATTTTTGTTTTTATCGCAAGAAATTATTGTTAAATACGAAAAATATTGCAAAGAGAATTAAATCATAGAGAGAATTGAATAAATGATAATCTTTTACTCAAAACACCTGAATGTATATTTTCTTTAATATTATAAAAACAGATAAGCTAGAAACAGATATATCATAAAAATAATGCTGCGATAAATAAATAAATAATCAAGCTATCCTTTTCGCTACCATATATGGTAAGAATTTTGATTTGGTTGCAATAGATATAATTTTATAGATGTTTTACTCCAAAGTAATTATAAAAAATTAATTAAGCAGAAGTTACTACTGGAAGCATTTTATTATAATTTAATTCATCTTAAAATAGAAATTTGCAGAAACTTTAATACTTCTCGATTTTATTTATTTCATTTAGAAAACATCACATTGCACAATATACTTTTATATAACCTATGTTATATTTCACCTAACAGAAAAACCAATTCGCATTTTATTCGCAAATATTATAGAAAGCATAACTATAGTTATACTGTAAGGTTTAAGAGGGATCAATATATTCATTTGAATATACAATTACTACTATATGAAACAACAGGAACTTACCGAAAGTACGTCAAATGAAATTATTTTTGAAGCTTTTGTTAAGCATTTAATCGAGGAAAATAATCGAAGGTTATTTGGCTTAGGACGGGTAAATTCTTGAAGATACGCTTAAAGAAAATGAACTGGTCATACATAATACGTTAAGTCATGAAAGTGCCTATGTAGACAACCTGCTTAACCTGGAATTAAACTTTGCTCATGTTTAATGAGTCCATTTGTCAACATTCTCCATCTTTATACTTCAGGAAATATTAGTCATTAAGAAGGAAAGGCCACTTTAATTTAAAATATTAAGTAGGATATTTTACCATGAATGGATGATTGTCTAAAAATGTAAGTGTTGCGTCAGACATTTATGGATTCACACATGTCACCTTTCTGTTGGTTCATTCATCACCGACTCATTTCCTTTGGGTGTTCTTGTTTCATGTCACCGATAATCTGTTTGGGAATTTTAGGAATGGGGTCTAAACGATAGAATTTTTATTCGTGATTATGGCTCTCTTAAATATATAGTTTCAAGCTTAAATTTCCTCGGTTAAATTTATTTCGCATTTTACATTCTTGATTTCACTGCCTTCATCACCATTATTACTGTTACTATTATTTATTTTCAGGCAACTACAGGGGCAGCGGCCTCTAAATGCCATTCCTCCAATATTCGAGAAACCCCCGACAGTGGGCCGCTTCATCGAAGGAGGCGATGCTCACTTTGAATGCAGAGTCATTGGCAATCCTCAACCCGAAGTGGTTTGGTCCAGAAGAGGAATGCCAATAAAAAATGATAACAGGTGCGTATGACGCATTTAAATTTTTTTTCGACTTATCACGTGATCATTAACAGTTGTTATTATTTTGGGGTTAATCTGCTTTTGAACATGCTTAAAATTTAATCAAGTTTGATCAAATTACTATTAAATCATTTTTAACGTTTAAAATTTTTAGCGTAGGCAAAACTGAACGTTAGGTTTAATGAATATTCCATGTATTTCGAGAGAATCATGTAACTTAACGTAGCAAGTTTATTGAAGAAATTGAATAGCGTCAGATTACGTAGAAACGCATAAAGCATAACCGAAGGGTCCGGATTTGAAACCGTGACTTAGGTCATGTGAAAATTAGATCAGTCTAAGATTAAAGGTTCACATAAGATTAAAGTTCAAGTTGACGAGCTGTTTTGTCGGTCAATTTGCATGTGAGTTAAAATACTAAATATTACTGCGATTTTCCGCTTCAGACTTAAGTAAAAGAAACTAACAAAAAGGCACAGCTGAATTATTTAGAATAAAAGTCCTTAGCGAAATCTTTCCAAAAATTTTTGGCCATTATATTACGTGATGTTACGGTATCAAAAATACTTTACTTCTTTACGTTTGCAAATGTTTGCTAGCATGTACAACATAAAAGTTTTCAGTTTTTCATCCACTTGGTCTATCGTAAATGAAGATAAAGCGCAATGCAAAGAAGAGTATTGCAATTCTAAGAAGAATATTTTCTTATTTCCTTCTCACTTTTTCTTGTATTATTCAAGTCAGTGATATGTTTATTTTGATAATGGAAATATCAGTAACTATAGTAACGCAAGTAGAACAAAATTGTTGTATCTAGATCTTTATTTTTTTTAAAAGGAAGGAAGAAAATGCGATATTCGCTTTGAAATTGTATTCATGATAGAGGTAATGTATATACATTAAATGTTAATTTTTTCTTGTAGCTGTAAATTATATCTTTAATTTGTTGATTAATTCCTAAAAATCACTTTTTGGAAATCGTGTTTTTTTATCGTCTAATTTCGAATGCCTGACATAAAATATTTGATGCCTGTGCTCATTGTTTTATTTGAAGAATGTTTTCAACCTTATCATTTCATTTTCTTCTTCTTAATACTTACGTTATTTGGCTTCCAATCCTGTTTTCATTATGGAATAAAATTCTAAATATCAGGACTAATTAGGATCACAGTCCATTCGGATATTAAAAAAATCTAGATACTTGATTGTTTTTCATCTGTAGGCCAAATACGTATTTATTACAACGCAAATAAAATGATTTTAAATTATTCTTTTTTTTTTTTTTTTCATTTATCGTATTATATTGCATCCGAACTTGTACATTTTTAAAGATAATACAGTTTTCCCGTTTATATTAATAGGCTTTATATTTTCTGATAATTGTAAGTGAATGTTATGTCGTAGTATGTTGATCTATATTAATTTAGTAACTTTTTAATGTACTGCAATTTATTATGCTTTCATATTATTTAAGCCATTGGAAAATTATAAATAAACAAATAGATTAAAAACAAGCTTGATTTTATTTGACTTAGAAATGACCCAATTATCTGAATTTCTGGAATTAGGATAATTGTAATTATACTGTGACGGACGTTTATCAAGTCATTAAGAATGAAGACTGGTGGAATGTTAAATAATCATGCATTGTAATGATGTAATGTAAATAATCATGTACTGTAATGATGTAATGTAAATAATCATGTACTGTAATGATGTAATGTAAATAATCATGCAATCATAATGTTTAATCATCAATATGTTTAGAAAAGGAACTTTTAATACCCGGTATGTAACTAAAGCTTTTATTTATTTACTTTTGTAGACGTCAAGTATCGTACAATCCTACCACAGGCATGTGCGTATTTGACATCAAAGGACTCACTGCAGAAGACGACGGTGAATACACATGTACTGCCGTTAACTGCGCCGGGGAAGCCTCCCTCACAGTCTCTATACAAAGGGACGTTCGAGGTAACCTGAAATATGATTTTATTTCTCCATTTTTTTCAGTTATTATTTTGCTTTATCCAGAACATTATATCATTGCCAATAACAGATTAGCTACCATCCTTATTACAGTGACCTCCTTAGCATATTTTAAAGTTAGCCGACATGAAATCCCATGAAATTTGTCATCAGATGACATATTTTTAGATATACGTATGATCAAATAGTTTTTTATGGTAATATATAAATTCAGAATCAGGGATGATTGTGATCTTGACATAAGCTATTTGTATGCCTAATTTAAATAATGACACGTTTGCTCTCTGTTTGTTGCACTCAAACCTCATTTCATGCACAAAATGATTATGTAAAATTGCTTTCAGGCCGTATTTGTGCAATGTACTTGAAATATAAACGAATTTATGATTAAGACTGAAGTTTTGTCCTCTGGATTGTATCATATTGATACAAATGTTTCCTAATTCTAAATTTGAAACACTACTGATCCTTAACAGTTCAAATAAAAGCGCGCAAATAAAATAAATAATTAATTTGCAGTATATTTTAAGCACATTTGTTATCTCTTAGTTATAACACGCGCATTATCACATATAGATTTCAGAAAAAAACTGATTTTTTTCCTTATTTGCTTTTGCAACTTTAATTACTCAAAAGTAATTATAGTAAGAAGTTAAGCCTAACTGTATTGAGTTACTTAAAACGTTAAGTTTCATTGTTTAATTACTATATTCTTTTCAAAAACTAAAATATAAAATCATTTTACGTTATAGGCCAAGTAGTATCTCAAGACACATTTAGACAAGTACAGGTACCTATGAGTCACACACAGCAAACCATTATTGACCAACGCCAAGTAAGAGGTACATATGTCCAGTCATATGTCCAACAGCAACATACAGATGGCATATACCAGAGGACCACATCTGCTGAATATGAAATGGATCCAAGCTGTCCCATGTATTACAGTGGCACCGAAGTAAGTGTAAATAAGCTGTATATTACATATTTCAGTGCAACACGGATTAAGCAAATGAAGTTTTCTATAACATCACTAATTTAATGCTATAAGTGATGATGTTTACTCAGTTCTAATAATGTTTTCCTTTCTAGCTTGTTATATTTAGTAAGGAATTGCATATTTATGACGCATTTATTGCAAAATATTTTTCCTGTATTTGGTTCTAACTTCATTTGTGTTCTTCAGAGTTTCCGTGTCGATACGTTCGAGTATCGGTTGCTGCGTGAAGTAGAGTTCCGTGAATCTCTCTTCCGGAGGTTACCCGGTGAGGAAGCACCCGAGAAACCGGCAGCTTTGGACAAAACACAGCCCCCTAGCGCGCCGCAGATCACAGCCCGCCCTCGAAACAGCAAATTACTTGAAGGCTCTGAAGCAACATTCCAAGCGAAGATCACAGGCAATCCGAAACCTAAGGTAAGAAAACTCTCCCACATATCATATCAACTAGATATTTCCTAAATTTGTTGTTTATGTTTCTTTCGTTTCCTTTTTTTCTCATTAGAAACACATGTGAAATGTTTAACTTAATGGATTCGTTTTACATTGCAGTTTCTTACTCTAGTAGTGGTACAAAACAGTTGCTCCGATCTACTGTACAAAATAGTTGCTCCAATTTATGTCATTATTATTGCACTAGTAGAATAATTGTTTGCATCTATCAAATGCTATAATTTACATTTTGTATAGTTATCCAGCATGTTGTTTTAGCAGTAGACATATAATTTTATAAACTAGGGTTTCTTAAATGTTTCTACTAGCGATCATTTCCCTTTTTCTAACACCGCTTTCTTCAGATAAAATCGTAATTTTCCAAAAACTACAAATATATCCCTGGTGTAAAGTGAATGTGAAGTTGAATGAATTATAATAAAAATTAAAATACAAATAAAAAAAATCAGCAAGATCCTCCAAGGTTTTTACAACACATTTTCGGGTTACAATAGAAAAGAATTTTTTTTTTTGCTATTGTTCTAATAGGAACATTAAATTATTGATTATCAGACGTCAAGAATTTCATTTTTCTTTCGTTGAAAATGTAAAATTAATTTCTGTTACTCTACTTTACATTAAAAAAAAGTTTATTTTGCTTTCAAAAGTAACTGCTATTTGCGAATATACAAATATTTTTTTGTTGTTATTTGTCGTAACTGTATTAACACTCAATATTTGGATGACGTATTATTTAAAAAATCAGAATTTTGTTTTGTGGTTTGCTCCATAATTAACACGTTGGCTGTGTTTAATGGTGGTAAAAATGTTTTAGTAAAGCAATTATAAACTGAATCGATAATTTTATTCAGCTCTCATTTATATAGAACCATCTAATTTCTTCTTTTCCGTAGCGTTTTAATTATATGTATTCTTCGCATTTATTTTATTGTGTTTTGCATGCTGGTTTTAGCCATTTCGTAAATGAATGGTTTATAGCGCATGAAAATCTACAAGAATTATAATTTAATTTTAGTTAATACACTTTTAATATTTTTTTTCTCTGTAGATTACATGGTTTAAAAATGGTCAACGAATTTTTCCGTCTCAACGATTCAAGATGAGTTACAAAGACGATATAGCGATATTGCACATCCATATGGCATTACCAGAAGACGCCGGTTATTACACTTTATTAGCTGAGAATACGAATGGACGGATAGCTTGCTCAGCTCATCTAGTGATCGAGGGTGTAGGAGTTCCAGTGACAACTACTTTCCAACAACAAAAAGCGTAAGAAAATATTTTAAACGTTTATGAAAAATTCAGCAATATTTAAATTTCCATTTTCAAATAATACAAACATTTTAAAAATCGAGTTTTGAAAACAAACGCAGGATTTTGATATTAATAAAGAAATGTGATCACCTCTAATTTGTATACATATCTCACGATGTCTTTTCATTCTCTTGAATAAGTGTTTAATTAAATTTAGTGATAAGTTCCATTCTTTTACACGGATGGTGTTTAGACACTGAGAATACTAGGCTGGCATTTTTGCCGCTAGGCAGCAACTCTTCAAGGAGGGTTTCCTTGATTCTTTAGCAGATTCACATCAAGAGAGTTGGTTGGCCAGTTTATTCGCTCTATACCTTCAGTCTCAGAAAATTCATCAACCACGCCTATTTGATAAGAACGTCTTTTTTATTGCGATCATCTATGAAAACAAAGTTAGATTCATGTGCGCCTTTTTTATGCAAGGCTTAAAGATTTCATTTTAATATTTTTGGGAAAAAGTGGTAATCTGCTGAACACGTGCAAGGGAAATGAGCCTGTTTATCATTGTTCTTTACCATACTATCACATCAATACCGTCTTGATGATTGCACTCTCTAATCTTGCTGAAAATGCTCAGCCTCCATCTGCTAAAAACGCGTTTGGATCCAGATGTTAAGTTGAATTTTGGCTTACTACTGAAGAGAACAGGTAGCCTATTGTAGAAAATTACAGACTTCTGTAAGCATTAATCAGGATAATGCTTCTTTGGTGTGAGATTAACAAACCGAAGACCATTGCAGTCATAGCACAAGAATTTTTCACATGAGAACTTCTTTGCATACTTTGCCAAAGTACAAGATTTCAGTGGCGGCTCAAGTTTAAGACTTATATGCGCAGCTATGAACTTCCTGTTGTGACATGAAGTTATGAGCAGAAAACTATTTTTTCTACGACGTTTTTCCTACTTCTTATAAACAGTTTCAGAGTTATACGGTATTTCTCCCGTCTTCTTGGCATGCCTTCATGGTGTGGTGGTCTGCACGCTGGACCAGTATTCCAGAGGTCCATGGTTCGATTCCCTGCGAAGGTATTGCTCATTTTTCATCTTCCCTGCTTCCAAAAAATACCTAATGTCTCTACAATGGCGCCCGAACTTAAAGGGTGGTGGATGATGATTCTCCACACCTAGGATTTGGCGATTGGGTCCACGAAAAACCGCAGTCGCCCTTTAAAACAGTAAGGTATTTCTCCTGCCTTCTTGGCTTGCCTTCGTGGTATGGTGGTCTGCACGCTGGGCGCGTATTCCAGAGGTCCGCGGTTCGATTTCCGGCGAAGGCGTTGCTCATTTTTCACTTCTCTTGCTTCCAAAAAAACCTAATATCTCTACAGAGTCATTTATTGTGTCTAGAATTTTTTATTATCTTCTGAACGATATTTTATTATCTCCAGAAGGCAGATATTGTCTATCTTAAAAAATTCAACTTTCGTGCCATTTCACTAATTATCTACCTTACTTCTAAACAGCCGTCCTTTCGTCTCAAAAGTTCTTTCGAATAATATTTCGACAATGTAAAACCATTTTGGTAAACTTTGAAATCAAGCCTTGAATTGCAGAAGTTTAAGAGGAAATATGCCTTAAGCGTTTTTTATTCCTTTATATGGCATTATTTACATTTGAATTTCAGAAACAGATATATCAAAGTGGAATGGATAAGTACGTTTCATTTTTGCTTATTCCGTGAAAGCGTATGTGGAAATGATCGACTTTTTTTAAGAAGTATCATTAAATTTCATGCATGTAGAGATAATTTTGGACACCATTGTACTTTTTTCAGTAATTTGTGAAAGTTAATATTAGAAGTATGGATAGATTTAGATCCCTTCATATTTGTAAGTTATTTAAATACTCACACACACACAAACACACACACACACACCAAAAAAAAAAAAAACTGTAACATTGTCGCTTCAAAAATTATGCATTTTTACTGCCATCCCTAATATCTTTTCGTTTACTCTGTGCGATTACAAGAAATTTAAATTTTAAGGTGTAGTCTTCAATCCTTCACTTTTAACGTCACATTTCCAGAGTTCAAAATATCTTAAAATTTATAAAGAACCCTATGCTTTTGTAATTTATAGACACGGTTTTTTTATTTTATATAATATAATGTTGCATGAATTCTGTACTTTTCTATGAAATTTTTTTTATTGCATTGCTTTATATTCGAGACATTGCATAGAATTCATCACATTATATTTTAGCTCATGTGTTTTTGAATGCTTTTTATAAATCATATGCTTAATAATATACTGTATTGCTTCAATGTAGTACATTAATTAATTTCTTTACTAGTAATTTAATCGCGCAAGTCTGCTGTATTACACTAGATTTAATATGATATGTAACGCAGCAATTTAAAAAATAAACTGATCCTAGATAAACGTAATAAATTACTGTAACAAAATCTAATCTCGATTTATTCAAAGAAATTTTCTGTAGCATTTATATGCTGCCTTGCAATCACAGAGTTCACAGAAATATTTCTGGTTAATAAAGAAAGAAATAATGCTTAAAACCCTTGTTTTAAGATCCTGGATAGTGGGCTCATGACTAAAAATGGCCCTATTTAAGTAGATTTCTATTTGATTTCGAAAAATAAGAATGGTCCCATAGAATGAAATCTACCAAATAATAGTGTACTACAGAATGCTACAAGTTGTTTTCAGCAAAGGCTCTCAAAAGTTGACGATAGTGTGACAAGGGGCATTTTCTTGGAAAATAAATTTGTTGCGCTATGTACGAGAAATTTTTTATGCAAATAATAAAAATGAACCAATTCTTTTATCAATATGGAGCTTAAGGTTAAGAAAATTAGAACAGAATAATTAAACGACAAAAATGTGTCCCACATCTTTTCAAAATTAATTTTCTTCACGTAATTCATTTGTTATTGTGGTGCATTAAAATAATTTCAATTCAGATAGAGAATATGTCTACTGTTTAAACATGTTTAAATGATATAATGATGCTTGCTCTTACTTTATCATTTTTTCTATAAGCAGCTTTTATAAATGCATTAATGAGACGTTTCTCATTTACCATCTTTTATTTCTCTTCTTTCCTTTAACCTTTCCTTACTGCAGACAAACTGCCGTTACTTCTGCCCGCCCAGTGCCTTTTGGTTACCAAACCGAACAGCAAATGGCTTATTCACAACTTACATCTCAAACAACAGTACAATCCCAAACATTATCCTCGTCTAACCTTTATACCCAACAACAGGTTCAACAGCAGTATGCAGCTACTAACCTTAACCAACAACAACAATATTTAACATCTCAACAACCCACTTACTTCCCCCTCAGCGATGGCATAGCCACCACCATAACGGCTGCTACTGCTGTGCGAGTCCAAGAAACGAACGATGTCGATGTCAGTGCAACGGGAGCGAGCAAAGCCCTCAAGCCGAATTTTGTTAAGATACCTGGAGACAAAGAAGTCACCGAAGGCAAGATGGTGAGGTTTGACTTACGTGTCAGTGGAAGACCATTCCCAGACGTCTCCTGGTACCTCAACGGAAATCAAGTGGTTGATGACGCAACGCACAAACTCTTGGTCAACGAAGGAGGAGTGCATGCGCTCATGATCACATCCACCAGTAGGACAGATGCCGGCACATATACATGTGTAGCAAAGAACAAAAGTGGAGAGGCCTCCTTCAATGTAAATCTTCACGTTATAGGTGAGTTTTCAATATATGTTGTATATTCAAGTATAGTTTCTAAGTATCTTGTAATTTTCAGTGTGAACAGGATAAATGCTCACATTTTAAAAACAAACGTTTTGAACTCTTTCATGGCGACCATCTCTGATTATTTCCAATGTTTAGAAAACATAAATAACGATCGATATTTTAAGCATTTTCAAGACAAACACAAAAGACTAAAATCATCTGGAATAGTGACTGGCCATCATAGAGAGAGTTCAACAAATTTTGGTTTCGCTTAGAATTACCACAAAAAAGTCTGAGAACCAAACTTTGAGGTAACACTAAAAAAATATGTTTTCCTTGGGCACAAAATTTAAATACTGATTATCTTAATATACTTTTTAATGTCAGGCTGCGGATTTAAGACACGCGTAGTTTCTAAAACAAAATTTAAACATTATAGATATATACTAGAAGATATATATTAGGAGATAACTATGTTTAACTTTACTTATTTCTGTACATCAGTTAGTAATCATAAATTTTGGATAGCTTCTCACTGTTGGTTTTAGTAATAATAACTTTCGCAGTATATATGAAATGTTGACGAAACAAAAGAGTTCATGTTTGATAATTATGCCAGCTGTAATTTTTGAAAACTGTAGATTAACTTAAAAAATTTTATATCATACAGTGTGCAAAATTATTAATATAAACATAAATAGACTTTATTACACGCATAATGCTTGATGAATTAACCCGTTCTTCTTACAGTGCCAATGCCAGTTACAAAAGTAACGTTATATGTGATAATATATTTTTTTTTACAGAAAAAGAACAAATAGTGGCACCCAAATTTGTCGAGCGATTTCAGAGTCTTCATGTTCGAGAGGGTGAACCAGTTACTCTTCATTGCAGAGCAATTGGTACTCCCATTCCGAATATCACTTGGCAAAAAGATGGAGTTCAGATACATTCACAGCCTCCCGATATACTTATAGGTACGTAATCCATAGCTAATACTTGATTTTTAAATAATAAACTATATAGTTACTAATAAACAATCATGTGTAAAATGTTATCAGTAAAATTTATATAGTAGTTAGTAATTTCTATTATTTGCAAATTCTAAAATACTTTATTTATTATTTTTAATACGATATTCTGCTTATCTACCTGCTGTCCCAGTAAAAGTAATTTGTTAGTCTTCATATTTAAGAGCATTATTCTAGCTATAAATTCATCGGATTACTCTGATTTACAGACTCATAATATTGTACGTTATTTACTGGCCTTGAAATTTAAAGCTTTATCATTTTGTGTAAATATGAACGAATAATTCACCATGACTGAGAAAATTTCAATCTGAACTGTTAATTAAATTAATACTCTACAGCTTATAGCGTTAAGCTTGTAAATTATTTTAAGATTAAAAATATATTTAATATCTGATCTGCTTCGAATATCATAGCGATCTGCTTCGAATATCATAGCGATCTGCTTCGAATATACGTAGCGACGCTTAACCTAAATCTTATATGTCATAAGTAGTGAGATCTGTAACTCGCTTAATTTAATACGACCTATTTGTATACCGGATTAATATTTTTTATAATTAGTTAAAATTTTTCAAAATATCATCGCTAAAGCCAATGTACTTATTCTGCCGGTTGATCCTTTGTAATACTCACACAAACCATCATCGTCAGCTTATCCAGCAGGCCAAGAATAGCTTCCATGATATTCTGGGCCATATTATCTTGGCCGTCGTGCTTTTTTCCATACATAGGAAGCCTAGTTTTCTAAAAAACTCAGATATGAGCTAGTGCTGGCTAGTAGAGTTGTATGGCCACTGGACAAGGCTGGGTTCAGTGAAGGCTTTATTGAACAGAATCGAATTTTATGAAGAATGGATGAACAATTCATATAAAGTCAAATTGATTTTGTTGTAAGGTATTGAATAATTAAGCTAAAGGATGAATTCATTTTCATAAATTAATTTTGTAAAATTTGACGAACTTTTGACTGCACAGAAAAAAGCATGGAACTACTGATCATTAACGATATTTTATTTGTTTTCCTTGCACCAATCATTATTTTAACAGTAAATTTATTATTCAATTTAGAAACCAGTGATGGTGCTTCTACCATATACTTCAATCGAGTGACTATTTTAGATTCAGCATGGTATCAATGCACAGCTCAAAATCAGGCAGGAAGTACTGCTACAAGAGCCAGGCTGTACGTAGAAAGTAAGTAAAATCAAGTATTTGTAAAATATAGAATCAAAAATTTCGTATCATAAAATTATATAATTTTGTTTCAGCTTACAGTGCATAATTCGTCATATTATCTATAAGATGTTTCATTTTTATTTTTGTGTCCAGTAGTTTTATAAACCATACTCATTAAACGGTTTCTCTGTCTTCATTCCAGGCGAAACAGCTCCAGTACCGGAGCCTTGGAGGCTAAACTTGCCCAGACCACAGAAAGTTATCGCTCCCGAGTAAGTTGAACAAATTTTGAAAAATAGAAGTTCATTTTTATATATCTCATTTATTTCTGTAGTTATTATACATTGACTGCGGTTGCAATTTCTTAACTGCAACTGAATATCTCATTTTGCGATATGGCAGAAGTGATTGTTTTGAACTTTGGAAGCCCCATATTTTTATATTACAAGACATATTACTACTTTAATTTGTAATGTCGATCTGTTCACTTAAACTTGGGGGTTAGGTTACAACAATTGTTTCTGCTGTACAATTACAGGAACAATTAAAGCTCATTATAACTATGATAAAAAAGTAAAAGTATTGCAAAAGGCTATTTAGCAGTTGTCCGTAATTAAAAAAGTTTTAAACGAATTCGAGAGAAGAATTAATTTCGTCTTATTAAACATTAGTAAAAAATGTATGATTTTATTTCACTCATAGAGGTTTGAAGAAAATTTCAGGAGTTCTCTTTTTATTCGCCTTAACGAATATCATTTCACCGAATAGTATTGAAATGAATGGCACTGCATCTTACGAATCATCATTGTTGCAGAAATAAGCTTATTCACTTTTCGTAATTTGCTTCGTAAATTGCATGAAGTGTTAACCAATTTAACACTTATTTTAATTCAGGTACATAAAGTACCAATAATTTATAATACCTCAATATTTTATTTTTAAAAACTAATGTGAAGTTTATGCATACTGATATATTTATCTCTGAAAACACATGTAGACTTTTCTTAATAAGAAATTTAGGACGTACCTTACTGTATTTATCTTGTTATTTTATAGGGGTTCTCCTCCTCGCGAAGTTGTATGGTTGAAACCAGTGGAAAGGGCAGCACCGAGAGCGAGGGCTCCAGAAGAAGAAAGACCCCCACAGAAACCAGCCTTCACCACCCACATCCGAGACTTGAATTTACAAGAAGGAGACCGAGCACATTTTGATGCCAGATTGATTCCTATAGGAGATCCAACCATGGTTATTGAGTGGTACGTCAATGGAAAACCAGTAGAAGCCAGTAAGTATTCAATGGTGTGAAATATATCAATGCTCGATTTTTGAAATTTAATGACTTAACAATTAGTTTTTTTTATAAAACCCCAAACAACTAGAAATTTATTTCTGTCTTATTTTCGAAGTATAGCCAGCGAGCGACCTATTTAATGCATTGTTAGCTGTATTGGCTGATTAATGATAGACGCAGATGTTGATCCATCAGCTTTGTATACATTAAATTTTTTGGTGTCTTAGTAGAAAAGCTAATTGTTTGCAATTTTTAATAGCGCCTCATTTTCAAAGGAATCTCTTTAAAGGTTAAAAAATTGGAAATTTTTATTAGTTTGTTAAAGTGAGATATTTTGTTTTACGTTTCTGGAAAATAGGAAAATGTTCTCCAGATACTAAAAATCATTAATTTTGGATTCGTTTCTGTTGCTTATTTTTTAAGCTTATTTTATTGCTTAATTTGAATGGAAATGGGTTGGAATAAAACATCTATAAATCCGTCTAGTGTTGTTATATGATTTAGTTATTCTTTATGGATGTCTTACAGTGTTATCGTGTGTGATGATCCGATCTCCTGATTTCGTGCTTTTCAATTTCATTCCAGGCTCTCGCGTTATGACGACTTATAACTTTGGGTATGTAGCCCTCACATTGTTGCATGTATATGCTGAGGATTCCGGAGTATACATGTGCAGAGCTGTGAATGAAGCCGGGGAGGCCACAACTACAGCCACTCTAAGATGTGTCCGTAAGTATTCCTTTAGTCAAATTATTTAATATTATATTTAATAAGAAATTCTTCATTTACTCAAAGAGCCTATTATTAGCAAGCAGCCGAAGATGTTCTTCAGAAATTTATGATACACGATTAACAGTTTAAAGACACTTTATATTACTTCAAATCGTTATAAAAACAACTTATGTATGGTATTTTAACAGGTTTAGAAAATTTTTATGACTGCGTTCTTACCCTGTTTTATATATGTATTTCAATTTGTAGTATTGCATCAATTTTCTTTCAGTTTTAAGTTCATTTATTTTTTTTTATCTGATGTTTATGTATATCATTATTATTAATTCAAATCGAATTCAATTATTTGTATTACACGAATTTTATTGAACATGTATTCAAATTCAGAAAGAGAAAATTACAACTAAAAACCTTTTATACCTCTTTGTATAGGTAAGAATTCTTGAATAAGTGGACTTTCTATAATTAAAATTATAGTGTGAAATTAAACTAGAACAACTGACTTCTTGGATTCGAGAATCTACTTGCTCTTGAATCTGAATGAAATTTTGCCTACTCTGTTTAAAATGTATTGCAGGGCTAAGTATCATTTTTGATCCACAAAGGTTATACCTACCTTCATTTGATTAATTTATCGGCTGCATTAATAGGTGCCAACAGACGTTTCGTTGACAAATATACAGCTTACAATAAATCTTTTGAGTAGACAAAGAACAGTACTGTTGGTTACAATTATACTAATAATACTTCTGCTGGTTACTGTATACAACTATACTATTGTGCTACAAAATTATAGCAGGAAAAGTAAAATATTACATTTTAAAATCATGTAAAATGTATATAAATAATGCCAAATGTAATATTAACTGAAATTAGCTAAACGTGTTAACTTCGTTAGACGAAGTCTGAGAAAGTAGTTCATTAATGAAATCAGTAATATCAAACATATTACCAATTTGTGGTAGATGATGAAATTGTGCATAATTTATAATAGAGCAATAATCTTAAAAGTATAAAAATAGTTATAATGAGTATCAATGAAAATAATAACAAGTACACAGTCCGATAGATAAATATTAATAACATACAGTTACAATAAATAATACTGAAAACAGTAATACTAATACTAATATCTATACATTATTATTAATGCTGATTACTAATTAAATGTGTTTGACGAAAGCCTCTTCTGGTTTGTAATAAGTCGCATTTCAGTCTCCAAGTATCTGAATTGTTCTCGACTCTTGCGTTTTTAATAATTAATATGTAATTTAAATTTTTCCAGCTCGCTCAAAGATTGAACGTGCTCCGCAACATCCAGAGAGCGTCGAAGCCATTAGGCATTTGGAAGACTATTCGAAATATCAGAAACAGGAATCTATAGAAGAAATGATTTCGCAGCAAAAGCCTGTCTTCATCAAGCCTCTTCGTCCAATCGAGAACATTTTGGAAGGGGGTTTCGCTCATTTCGAGGCGCAGATAACACCTGTCAGCGACTCGACGATGAAAGTGGAATGGCTCTTCAATGGACAACCGCTAAGAGCAGGCAAGTACTTTGTTTTCTTTTTTCTTAGGTTCTCATAATAATCACTTAACGGCGATTTGACCTTGATTACTGTACATTAATAAAGACACCATGACTCATAAAGTCCGTACTTTTATTTCAGGCACGCGTATAAGTACTACTTTCAGCTTTGGTTATGTGGCGTTGAATATCTCTTATGTACGAGCTGAGGATTCGGGCGTCTACATGTGCAAAGCCACCAATCAGATGGGAGAAGCCATCTCAACAGCTACATTGAAAGTGAAAGGTACGTCTTTAAGCATCTGATGTTCAATCTCTTTCATGTTTTAAATACCTGGTGTTTATTTGTGCCGTTCAACAACTCAACAACCAAGCTACACCTAAAAATTACCGTAATCTGTACCGAAAATTAACCCTTTTCTATAAATATTGTTAGCCTTAGTAATAATTTGCGCTAAACACCTTTTAATATAAAATTATTGTTGGTCTCGCATAACATCTATTTAAAAAGCCAACAAAAATAAACAATTTTACTAAAGCCTTTAAGATGAAATATTCTTGCTAACCATGAAATTTAAGACAAATGCGTTTATAATGATCTCTGATGCAGTGATACTGAATCTGAGTTGGCATAAATGGCTTAATGTCTAAGGATGCAATGAAACCAAAATAAAAAATGTTGACGGAAAATATAAAAGAAATCTTATAATGCAAAACGTTAAAATAAAATATGATCTTCAGTTAGATTAGCTGTGGTAGGTTAGGTTATTTAATTACGGCAAAGCCTCGAGGGCTATCTGCCTAAGGGGGGTATGCCTTCGTGGAGGACTTTCTAAGGGTAACTCGCTCGTATACACGTTAAACATGGAGAAAACCACGAAAACACCTGTGCAGCCAGCCCGTTCGGGGGATTCGAACCTCGGACCGAACTACCAGTGTTCAGTGATTTTACCAGTCAGCCGCTGGTGGGCTTAACTGTAGTAGAAAGTAAATGAAGTATTTTGTTATCTGAGTTTTCTAGCTCAAGAAACTGTAGAAAAAATAATTGTAAACTTCGGATGCTAAAAAACGATAAGGCCATAAAAATAAAAATTTTCATTAAATTGCCCACAAACTGTGTACTATTTATAATTTTTTGACGAAAGCTATTTATTTGTCTCTAATAATAAATTGTGGATATCACCATGAATGCATAAATAATAATTTAATGACATTAGCTGTTATTTTTAACTTCAAGTACTTATGAAAGTTTCTTTTTAATGGAATGGAACCTATTTCCCTTTTTAGTGACTGAACAAGTGACCTCAAGTTTGGGAATTCCAGAGCAACAGAGCTACATTCAGAAAACGCAAGAGCTGGAAGCTTATCAGTCGATGCAACGACAAACTTTCGTGGAAGTGGACCAAACCGTCAGACAGAAGCCCTGTTTCAAAACTCAACTTGTGGAGAAATTAGAACTGAATGAAGGAAAGACAGCTCATTTTGAGGCACGTCTTGAACCTTCAGGAGATTCCACAATGAGAGTAGAGTGGATGAAAGACGGAAAGCCTGTAGAAGCCAGTGAGTAATTTTTAAATTGTAACTTTGCAAAAAAAAAAAAAAAAATCACTCGCTGTTTTAACATAATAACTTAAGATTTTTTAATATTTAATAATGCTAGTTCTGTCAGACAACAATTTTTACATTTTATACAGCATTTAAAATTTGCTTTTGTAAGCGGATGAACTTATTTTTACCATTTATTCATTCATATCCTCAAAGGATATATGAGAATGTTTTTAGAATACCTTATTGTATCTCTCACAAAACAGCCTCTTATCACAGGGCAACTGCTTATTTAAAAGAGTTTTGTAAGGGAAACAAAGATGTTGCACGTCAGTCAGCCTTACGTATGTGCTGCAGTATGTTGCTGGAAAAACCACAAAAATTACGATTCTGAAGTACTTAACATGATTTTTATATGTAACTATCAAATTATTCTGTACAAAATAGTCTATAAATTATTTTTTGCATTCTGAATGTAGATCAGAACATTAGAAGAAATTAATCAGCTTAATAGCGCGTTAAAAGTTTAGGAATATCTGATAATAGGTATCTGATAATAGCTAAATTTTGGAATTTTACAGGAAAATTAGTAAAGGAATGTAAATAATAATTTATATTTTTGCTTTTTTTAAGGCTCCAGGATCTCAACTTTCTTCAATTTCGGATATGTGTCACTTACAATACGAGGTGTTGACGCTCGAGATACTGGTACATACACATGCGTCGCTACAAATTGCATGGGCAGCGCTTCGACTACTTCTAGACTTATATGTATAAGTAAGTATGTCAGCTATATGTGCAATATGAATATTTATTTAATAAAATAAAGCAAAAAATATTTATAAAAAAATAAGAATTTTATTTTTATTCACACTAAAAATATACGCCACATGCGAATAATCGTTGTCTTGTCTTTCATTTAGAATCTGTAAGCACAAACAGGTTGGGGACTAAATTTTAGGCTAAGAGTTTTAGATTTATGGGTATATAAGAAATCTGAAGTATTAAGACAATGGTCTAGGCATGGAAATTGTTTATTTTGGTAATCCAAAATCTCATAAAATTGTGGATTATATGTTTCTTACAGCGAACACTTAAATACTAATATCTAATATATATATAATAAAATTCTAATATCCAGTACGTATACATATACCATATTCATAAATTAATTATCGTTTTAAATATGATTATGCCACTGAAGCAAAATCCAAATCCATTAACATTTGTCTTTTATACCAGAAAGTGGAAAAATGCAGTTAAGCAATATTTGAAGTCCTAGTTAGATAATAACTGAATGCATCTGTTGAACGCTAAAACAGTTGTTATTTTAGGACAGTAAATAACAGCTAAGCATATTTTTCTTTATAATTTTATCGATTTTTAGAAGTCGTAATGAAAGGGCGAAAATGGACTAAATGATATATTACTTATGAAATTAATTACTTTCAGTAGACGTTTAAAATGCTTTCTCTATTTTTAGGCAAAAAGAGCATAGTTGTTGAATCTCAACACCCTGAAGGTCTTGAAAAGATTCAGCATCTTGAAGACTATTCTCGATACCAGAGGGATGTACGAGAGGATGTGAGTTTCACTGTAAAGCCCACTTTTACCGCTGAGCTCACTGGAAAAAGTCAGTTGATTGAAGGACAAAGTGCTCATTTCGAAACACGATTGGAGCCAATGGGAGATCCTAGTATGACCGTGGAATGGTTTTTTAATGGCCGACCACTTACCACTGGTAGGTGAAAGATCTATAATATATATGTAATATGCACAGAACCCTATGAAAGGCAGTCAAGAAAAATGAACAAAAATAAATTAATCAAATAACTAATAAAATAATCAATAATTAAAATTAAAATTGAATAAAATGTAAAAAAATGCATAAAACTTAAAAAATTAATTAATGGATAATAAATGATTAAAAAATAAAATAAAATACTGGACCTTGTCTTCCTTGGGGCTTATGCTGGAATTATAATTTCACTCAAAGCAAAGGAAAAGCTCAATAAGACTCCTGCTGAATTTAAGCTCCGAATATACAGTATAAGCATATTAAGAATATACAGTAGGGCTAATTTAAGTGATGAACAGAAACAAAGATCCTTCTTTATCCTGCACACCAATGACCAAATTAAATTGTTTAAAGCATCAGTAAGGAAAATAGAGATAATGCTAGAGCAGGATGACAGTACGGAAGGAAATTTTAAAGGAAGTATATAGGTACGAAAACAAAGAAAAAAGAACCTAATACTTTCAGGCCACGATCCTTTGCCGATATAATTCTAGCTACCAAGTAAAACGTGCTGGGAGAAAAAGGATAAATTTTTAATGTTAATTTTTCACCAAAATAGTATTTCCGAAATCAGAAAATACTTTCTGCTGAAAATTATAATTCAGTTACATAAATGAAGCGTTGGCTCCGGTGCGCTCTGACTAGAATTATGATTTATCTCAAAAACTGAAAAATGCCGGAGCCGGACTCCAGTAGGCTCCGATGGAATTTAAACTCTGGTTCTAATTCGTTCAGTGTAATGTGAGGTATAACTTGTTTCATTTCCTTAATTTAAAATTCGATATTAACCGTGAAAAAAATATTAATATCTTAAATAAAAAAATTCTTTATAATTCTGTGACTTTTATTCGTGAATCACGTGAGTAACAGTGCAAGCTGAAAGTTTCACTTTAAGAAAGAAAAGAATTATGTACTTCTGGTATCACCCAGCTTCAGTATTTTCGGAGCCGTTTGTGATCAGTATAGTCGGCGCCCTTTATAATTAAGCATATTAATAATTTAAAACGAAAGGTGCATTTATTTAGTTGTTATTTGTGATGACAACTTAGCTGGTGCCTTCCGAAAATTGGTGCCCAAGCCGGATGTCCATGTCGCCTATGCTTATAAATGGCACTACTTCAGATAACCCTGTATTTCTTTCCAACATGATCTTTCGTACTGTATCAGATCTTATATTTCATGATTCATAATATATCTTTATGAATAAGTAAATTACAAATTTATAAAGTGTTTTTTTCTTCAGGACACCGCTTCAAGACATATTTTGATTTTGGTTACGTTGCTCTGGACATTTTGTACGTATTCCCTGAAGATACAGGAACGTTCACTGTTGTTGCCAAAAACTCTATTGGACAAGCAACACTTTCGAAGCAAGTTCACGTACAAGGTAATGTATGCTTTACTATGTTATAAGAAGATATATTTTTTTAAAGTAATGATTTTCGCATTCTAAAAATTTGAATTAGGCTTTTTACATGTGTTGCTATTTGTTACAATTTTCTGGCATTTTAAAACTAAAATAAAAGTTTGTTTTTCTAATAAAAATAAGTCATATAAAAGTGTTTTGTGTTTCTTTACAGCATTATTTAGGTGGTAAAATTATTTAAATTTATTCGTCAATTTCAGCTTACTGAAAACTATTCATATTGTAGATTTACAAATAATGTTGAATTTAAATTTAAAAGCATTATTATAATTAAATTCTTATCTAAAATATCTGAAATTAGCAAAAACCTTAGTTCCCATAAATTTCAAATAAATTTGAAATATAAAGTCAATATGTATTGAAACATATTCTGGGTACTAGATCGTAATTAAAATAATATAATAGTTCAGTCAATACTAAATTTTGTATTTTGTATTTTAACTGTATCTTCTAATATTTTAGTACAAACTCTTACTCAATGAAATTTATCTTTTAAATTTGACTTCAGAATCATTTACATTAAATCAGATTTATGAAAATAACATTTCTTGTTATTTATAGTGGCATCAGCCGCTGTAAAATTGTCAATGAAACAAAATGCTCGTTTAAGTTGCCTTATTTCTCTGTCTCTTTCTCTCTCTCTCTCTCTATATATATATACTAAAATACTATATTTAATTATCATACTCTCATTTTCCAGCCAAAACCTCGGTAGATACCTCAACTATTCACGAAATCGAAGAAAAAAAAATTGAATATTTAGAACGCCCACCTCATGTGGATACTGACCGTTTCATAGAAGAGATCTCCAAGACCAAGCCTTATTTTCCTATTACTCTACACAGCCCCAAACCCTTACGAGAAGGTGAAAGGGTACACTTAGAATGTAGAGTCGAACCAGTAGGAGATCCAACGTTGAAGATTGAGTGGTTCTTTAATGGAAAACCTCTGCCTTCTGGTAAGTAACACACATAACATTCCTTGTCAGTGTGAATATTGTGTATCTTTTTAGTGGGTTTTTTTCGGTCAAAATACAGAACGAATTAAAAATAATTATGTTATTCATCAATATTTTGCGAAGAAACGAGTATACACATTTTGTAAAATAAGAAATCAGTTTCTTTACATTGATGGAAGAAAAGTAAGACTGTTTATATTAGCTAAAAATTATACAAGAAATTTTAGAAGTAAGCTTGACCTTTTGTCACAACTTGTGAATGACAAATTCAAATGCTACATGTTTATGGCAAACTATGTTATGTTTCTTTTAAAACATAAATTCGTAACAGACAGATAGACTCAATGCAGTAAGCTACTCCAATGTTATAGACTTTATGAATCTAGATTTAATTTTCTGCTGATACTTATGTGATGTTTGCATGATGCTAAAAACCAGTTAATATTTCAGCCGCATGAACATTAGACACATCTTGAAAAATAAATTTAGAGAATAATCTAGGTTTTTTTAAATACCTCGAGGTAACATCTTAATCTGTACATCCGCTATATATATTTCGCAAAACTTAAAAACGTTTAGTTCACATTACTTGTAATTTCTTTTATTTTCTCTTCGGCAACACAAAATGACTGCTTCGAACGAAATGCTCGATATGACGGACTGCGTTCACAGCGCTGTAGAATTTGATTGTATGCAGATTGAGAGTTTTGTGCGGCAAGAATAATGTATCATTTTAACGCATGTGGTTACTATATATGATGCTGACACCAAACTTTCATAAATAAAAATGTGTTTGTTTCATTTATGATTTCAGACAACGCAAGGTATATATTGTTGTGTGGAATAAGGTTTTGTTAAAATATCTCGGGTCATTTCGATTCATTTTGAAAAATTTAGATTTGAAGTATATATTTAGTAGTTGCCTTCTTGTTTACATTTTAACATTATTGCATTTGCATTTTGCATAATTTCGTAATGTTTTGACATGAGAAAAGAAACTTTAAAAAGTCATAATTCAGCTTTATTACCTTTAATGATGGATATTTCTAAGCTCATTCTTCTGTTCCTGACAGGCTCCCGATTCCAAGCAAAGCATGAATTCGGTCACATAATTCTGGACATACTCACAGCATACCCCGAGGACACTGGCGAGTACACTGTCAGGGCAACCAATCATCTTGGCTCAGCGCATACCAGTGCATGCATCACTGTCATTGGTAAGTTCTTTATTGAATTTTCATTGAAAGGAAAAGCCATAATTTCTCAATTTTACCCATAGGAGAAAGTCTCAAATGGTATATATCTTTCCTATTTTATTTTCAAATCTTTTTTTAGAAATGTTATGAGTACTTCTAGCCACTTACATAATATTTCGGATGATTAAGAATTTTATTTTCCTGAAATTTTATAATTTTTCTATTAATATGACGCTGTCCTTGTGTCGATCTATTTCTGGAATTCGTACTATTCTTCACAGAAATACAGGTTTGTCATAATGAAACAAGAGAGAGTTGTGAAACAAATGATGTGTAGTACAAAAATCATTCATATTCATCTGAGCATTCTTTGGAAATAAAATTCTTATTTATGTATTAAAAATGATGTTTTACACCATAGACGATTTGACGTGAAAACATGCATGGTCTAAGCTCGAAAGTATTGAGACCGAAATCAATTTTCGTGTTTCTGCCGAATTATTTTTATTTTGTTACAAATTTCAATCAGTTTTCATCATACTATAAATTCCAGTTGTGATTTAGTGACTTTTTTTTAGTGTCAGACACTCTAAAATTAGAAATCGTTAAACGATATTTCTTATAATGACGTACAACAATCTAATAATTGATTTCCTTCATAAGCAACATTACTATATCTTCCAATTATACTGAATCAGAAAATTGTGTTTGGTATGTCAGCCATTTTAGATTCCCTACAACCGGAAGACATTAGGCTTAAAATCATCTGAAAAATCTGAGTCTTTTTTGTATTTTAGTTTGTTGCCAGGCTGTTGGAAATTTGATTAATGTTGCTTTCAAATTACTTGACAGTGACTAGTAGCATACTTTGAAAACATTTTTATAAAGTATATAAATTTTGTTATGTAATTTTGATCATTAAAAGTTATTTGTTACTTTTTTTTCAGGTAAAAGTGGAATTGTTTCTGAAACTCAGCATCCAGAAGGACTTGAAAAAATCCAGCATTTGGAAGATTCGAGTCGCTACAAGAGGGACCAGTTTGAAGAGACGATCATTACGCAGCTTCCCACATTTACGAAACCACTGCACAACATCGAGACGATTGAGGGCACCAATATTCATCTTGAATGCCGACTTGCCCCTGTCGGCGATCCAACCATGCGGATAGAGTGGCTTGTGAATGGTGCACCTCTCAAAGTGGGTAAGTATACAGATTGCAAAACCGGATTAAAAGCTTAATGTTTATTCAGCTATTTTAATTACGCATTCGTATTTGCACTGGTAAGATGGAAAAAGGAAAACTTATGACACCAAATGCGCAGCAATAGAAAGTTAGAAATTGTTTTAGGAAACAGATCGGAGTTCATAATAAAATCCTTTTTAATTAATTTGCAAAGGTTAGAAATGAAGAATTTAACCGAAAGTGTTCAAATATCTTTGTTTTGTTTTCCTTTTTGAGATTATAGGTGAACATATACTCAATTAGACATATAAATGTTTTATAGGGCATCGATTCCGACCCGCATACGAATTCGATTATGTCGCCTTAGACATTCTCAGCGTGTACGCAGAAGATAGCGGAGTTTACACTTGCAGAGCAACTAGCAGTTTGGGCCAGGCTGTTACTTCTTGCACTGTTAAATGCACAGGTATGTTGTATAAGAATTAATAGTTAGTTTAGAGTTGAATGTACAAGTAGTGACGCATTCCGCTAAATTCCGTTTGTCTCGTATTTACAGCTAGGAGCGAAATTATTTCAGAATCACAGCATCCGGAAGGTCTTCAACAGATTCAATACCTTGAAGACCAGAGTCGCTACCAAAGAGAAACCTGGGTTGAAGAGGCCGTCAAAGTGCAGCCCAAATTCTTAACTAAGCTTAACAACTTAACTCTACATGAAGGTCAAATGGCTCATTTTGAATGCCGTCTGGAACCCGTTAACGATTCTTCTCTAAGAGTTGAATGGTTTAGAAATGGAAAATCTCTTCCAGTTGGTAAGTTACGTTCTCAAACTGGTTTATCGACAGACTGTATTTCATTTTTGGTTATTATTTACGTTGTGAGAAAACGGTTTTAAAATTATTAGAAATACGATTAGTGTATAGAAAAATAATGTTGTTGAACATTTGACTTTTGTTTATTGAAACAAAAATAGATTTTCTAAGAAAAGTAAAGCTTCTATCTGATTTAGATTATTGTTTCTGAGATTTGGTAAATGTCAAGTGTGCATTTTACGAAAGATAGCTGAACAGTTTTCTAGTTGGTAATGATTTTAAGGAAGAAAATGTTAAGAGTAAGATAAAAGAAATAAAAGATAACTTACCTAAGCAAATTAGTAAAATGAATAATCTGAACACAAAAGTATACTTTCAAGAAAAGAACCGCGGTGTTCTTAAAAACACACTTAAGAATCAACTTACTCAGATCTTGAATTTTTTGGAACCTAGAAGGTATTTCTAATAAGAAAGGGAGGCAATAATTAATAACCAGTCATACTGCAACCACTTGTTAAATTATATAAATATGCAAATGATTTCAGGATTGGTTACTTTTTAAACCTATTTTCTTTCAGTAAATGAATAAATGTAACCTTTAGTCTTTAAATATTAGTGAAAATTAATTGACTTTTGTTGTATATGCTTAACCATAAACTAATGATTACGATTTTTTTGTTTTATAGGTCACCGTTATAGACCTTTCCATGATTTTGGGTACGTTGCCCTAAACATCTTATCAGTTGTTCCAGAAGATTCCGGAACCTACACCTGCAGAGCTGTCAATTTAATTGGAACAGCAGAAAGAAATTCAAGCAACACTTACTTGCACAGGTATATTTGCATTTTGCTTTCTTTCAGAGTGATTCTATATTTCAGTTTGCTTAGGATTATTTTACATATAGGAATAATAATTATTTTTGTCTCATGAAGCTGCGTTTCTTAGGGAAAATTAAATAATAATAATATGCACATGGAATTTGGTGTGAACGTAAAATATTGGTTTATTTTTTTCAAGTAATCAAATTATACTTTAATATTGTAAACATCTAAAAGCTGAAGAATATAAATATGTTTCTGTAAAAAATAATCATAAAGTGCGATTTTTTTTTCTGTACGATTTTTTTTCAGCGAATATTTAACATTTTAGAATAAACATCATATATACAAATGCGGTTTTATTTGTAAAGCGTATTTTATTTGTTTCCGAATTTATTACGTGTTACTTTTTTTAAATAAATGTCAGTTTTAAATTTTTACTTATTAAATTAAAATAGTCTCTTTCCGGTCGCATATTTAAAATAAAAGCATCATAATATTTTTATTCTTATCTTATTCTATTGGATATCATTTAATATTGCGAAATAGAAATTAACAGATATCCTTAATTTAAAAAATAATTAAAAGGAGGTGAATCTTGAGGCGATTAATAGACAGATAGTAATAAAATAATTTCAAAAGTAAAACCATTTAAAATAACCATGAGTAACTTTATAGTAAATAGTATCATTTCTGGCCATAATTACACATAAAAAGGCACATCTGCTTGATCTCAATGCAACTAACACTTAAAATAATTTCATTATAAACGGACTTACTCTAGGTAAACACTTTTTCTGGTGACTAATAATCTATTATAACAGCTAAGATTAGATTGTTTTTTCAATAATCGCTTTTTTCTGCCATTTGTAAATGTATATAACTGGATGAATTTTAAATTCCCAGTTAATTTCTACTAGCTCGTTGAGTACTCAAATAATCAGATTATTTTCTTCTTTCTGTTCTTCTAGTTGAGTGGACATATAAAAGATGTCTTTAAAATTAAAAAAAATCTAACATTAGCAAAATAAAAAGGCCATTAATAAATTAACAAAATGTATGAATATATGAAAATATGTGTAAGTAATGAGATTCATTAAACAAACATTTGAGAGCGTTATGTTCTTAATCAAATATTTACAAAAATGCTTTAAAGAAATGTTTTAGAATATAATTCACGAGAACAATTTCTATTTCATAGGCAAATCGTCAATTCTATCAGAAACTCAGCATCCAGAAGGCTTGCAAAAAATTCAGCAACTCGAAGATTACTCTAGGTGAGTACGATATGCTCAACCATATTTATTTACGTTTTCAGCATTTTTTCGTTGTAAATATTTAAAGATGTCCGAAGCATATACATTGCGCAGACACTGGAAAGTTCTTGATTGAATAAAATTCATTTTGCATACAAACTTAAAACAGTGAGAATCTAAAATTACTTGAATTGCTTAAATAGTAAATGGATTAGCTTGACCGAAAAATATTAAATTAATGAAATACGATGCTTTGTAATATGAAGTTTGATTAAGTTTATGTTAATCAAGCTAGTGAGTTAGCAAATTTCAACTTTGCAAAAATGAAAAATAATATAATTTCTTGAAAAATGTGTTCCCTTTTCAGTTTCTTTGTTGAAGCGAGCAGCATAGCGATACCGATAAAGTTTGCTTTTGCATAAATTTTTGTTACTAATTAAAGCATTAATTATCTTGAGAGGTAATAGTTTGTTGTCCATTCAGGTACACACGTGACGTGTATCAAGAAGAGCTCACAAGCCAGTCTCCAGTATTCACCAAAGCTCCACAGAATGTCGAAATCAAGGAAGGCCAGCGAGTGCATTTCGAATGCCGGCTGATTCCGGTTGGCGATCCCAAGCTCAAAGTTGAATGGTTCCATAATGGAAGACCTGTGAAGCAAGGTACGACACTTTGTTAAATAACGCGACTGCTTTGGAGTAATACCAAATGCATCAATATGTCTGACATATTAAAATACAGAAATATTTGATGTAAAATTAAATTGTATTTGATAAGATATTAAGATTAAGATGTAAAATTAAATTGTAGTTGATAAGATAAAATTACTTCGCTTTTGACACGGTGCTCCATTCATACTTGCTCACTAAATAAATAAGTATTCATATCTGTTTCAAAATAGTGGCAAGAGAGGGGAAGCATATATTATAATTATCTTTCTGGTATGTTTTAAAACATCACGGCAAAACGAACTTTCCATACATGCTTCCTTTAATGTTAAACCTTAAATATTTACATATTTATATATTCCCTATTAAAGTAATAAAAAATATATTAGTCAGTTTATTCATTTGAAAATATATATATACTCGTATATTAATTTTTAGCTTCAAGAAAAATTTTGAAAATTATTTATCTTGTCGGTTTGCATTATTTATTATGCATTGTTCATTAATTGATATTATTTATTAAATTACATAAAATCAGTGTAATGCTTTCCTTATTCTTCTGATATATAATGTAAGGCTAAATTTAATGCTTTTTAACATAATATAGGTTTCTTTTGTAATATTTAGCAATTATATGCTACCTGATAGTTGGTACGATATTGAACATACATCGGTGAGGTTTAAAAAATACTAGACAGAAACAATGAAAGAAACTAGATCTGATTCATCAAGAAAGTAGGATAACTAAAAAGTTTCATTTTATCGCATAGAGATTTTTTTCGTTTGATTTCGCTAGGCTGGAAATCCAAAATATTTTTTTTATATTGACTAAAACAGAGTTAGAATTTCTTCCTTTAAATTGTGAAAATAACAAATTTATTATTTAAGAAAATATTTCGTTATAATTACATATAAATTATACTTCATCATTGTTCTTATTTTGTTATAGGCACACGATTTGTTCAGACATTTAATTTCGGTTATGTCGCACTGGATATTATGTATGCTTATCCTGAAGATTCCGGTACTTACACTTGCAAAGCTGTGAATGCACTCGGAGAAGCTGTTACATCAGCCACCCTTAAGTGTCACAGTAAGTTGTCATTTGGTAGATTACAATAGTGAATTAAAAAAATATATTTGATTTTTAATGCTAACAATGTTTAAATTAAATTTAATATAATTTTGTGTATTTGCGAAATTTAATCTAAATTTACAAAACCTATTTTAAAAGATCGTTTTGTTTGTATTTTGCATTAACAATATAGTAATATCTCATAAATTTTTCTCGATATAATTATTTGGAATAAGTGAAATCATTATTTTTCTGCATTTATCATATGAGTCCATTGGCTTATAAATAAAGCATATTTTAACATTTTCTTTCATATACATAACTCGCCTTAGAATTCTGGTTTCAGTATTATATAATCTTTATATAAAAACGTTACTTTAAGTTTTTAAATTTCTGTATACCACCTCTGCCACTTTCCTTAAATGTTTTAATAATTAATACTTAACAGTTGTCTTTATTTTGAAATATATTTTTCTTTGTGTTAAACATCCAATTACAGAATTCGATATACTTACAGAATAATAAATGGCATAAATCCGAAATCAATTCTTTCTATAAGGAATATAGCTAACCAATGATTAAATATAATATAGTTATTTTAGAGTATATTTCGGTCGTTTAGAATAACGGAAATCTTAGAACTTCGTATATTTAGTACGAAGTAATCGTGATCCATCTTGATCCACGATTACGTGAAAGTAATCGTGATCTATATTTTTTCTAGGTAAGAGTGCTCTTATTTTGGAATCGCAGCAACCGGAGAGTCTGGAGAAGATTCAACAATTAGAGGATATGAGCCGATATCAAAAGACCTCATATATCGAAGAAACAACAACGCAGGCACCAGTTTTCACGCAAGCTATGAAGAACTTGCAACTAATGGAGAACCAGAGTGCTCACTTTGAATGCAGGCTGATACCAGTTGGGGACACGAAGCTTAAAGTGGAATGGTTCCATAATGGAATTGCTATCATGCCTGGTAATGAAAGTCAAAAAATATTTTTTTGTATTTAAGAATTTATTTTCAGTTTTAATCATAGTTCAATTTTAAATACGGGCCTGATCTTCTTTTCATCTTGTATTAACAGCTTCTAGAGTAACACTGACACATGATTTTGGTTTTGTGGCACTGGACTTGGCATACGTGAAACCAGAGGACAGTGGAACCTATACCTGCAAGGCAACTAATGAACTCGGACAGGCTGTATGTTCAGCAACTTTAGCTGTTAGAGGTAAATGAGTCTGTTATTCAATCTTCATCTCTTAATAACTAAAGCCATAATAAAATATATTCTTACTTGTTATTACGAAAATAATGGAAAGAATATGAAGATTTCAAAATATCTGTCTAATAAAATATATAATTATAACTAAGAAAAAGGCTTATCTGTAATATTTCTAATACCATAAAATAGGATTTTGTTTGTTAAGGTAATGCTGAATGTTCTACCATTTTCGTCGTCGTATTGATAATACGCGTCGGTGCAGTCAATTTAGGATGCTAAATATACCTTATACAGCAGCAGTTTTCACACTGCGGTAGTGGTTCTCAGCCTTAAATGCTTCTTTCATTCTCATCGCATATCGCAATCTCATGCCTCCACAAATATATTTTTATTGTTTTTATAAGTCATGCATTTCAGTAAAATTGAAAATTGAAAATTTGGATTTTAAGGCGCTAGAAATACTTATAAAATTAAATCTATTAATTTATTATATCTATTAATTTCACTTCGCTTACTAATACGTTAATTTAACTTTTTTCACCCTTTTTGATTCACGTGAAGTCAATCACGCGTTAACTGTATTTGCCGTGATCCTTTGCTATAGTTTCTTTCTATTACAAGGAGGCTAAAAATAATCCTCCCTGAGACAGTTACTCGTTTGGTGCATATTCCCCGCTGGTTGAAAATCTCTCTTTCCATGGATTTTTGATCCATACGCATTGCTTTTGCCAGAGGTTTAGCAAAAAATAACACAGAACGGACTGGCATTTCGATTTTAGCTTTGTAAAACAGATGGAAATTTAAATTGCCTTTTAAATTTCCATTTTCCTGTAACCCTGTTATTTAGCTTTTCAGACAACGATAAAATTGATCTTACCTTGAGGTCTTTACTGTATAATGACTGGTGGGCTTGTCTTAATTAAGTAGGTGACAAACTACATATGCCAACCCCTCTAGCTTGTGCTATGGACTTTTGAGACCTATAAAATCCCGAATGAAATTGGAAAACCTTTACTTTTTGTTTAATGTCTTAAATCAGGTTTCTCCATAGTGCATCTTTCCTTGCATTGACTGGCCCCAAGACAAAAAATTAGCTATCCAAAATCGATTCTTGATAAAATTTAAAACTATCTCTAACTTTTTCATCCAAGTGAGGTAAGTTATAATATAAAAACACATCCATAATAGTAATGTTATCGAAGTGATTCAGTTTGATTTTATATGTTCCTTTTATGAAATGTTTTTCTAGAAAAGTATTGAAATTTTCCTTATTATCATGATAGGTTCAAAATCCTTGCTTTTGGAGACGCAACATCCAGAAGGCTTGCAGAAGATTCAGTATTTGGAAGACGCTAGCCGTTACCAGCGCGAGACCATTGAGGAAACTCGAGTAACATCGCCACCAGTATTTATAACACCACTTTCAGGACCTAACCAACTCGTTGAGGGACATAGCAGTCATCTCGAATGCAGAATAGAGCCCTACCCAGATCCAACCATGAAGATTGAATGGTTCTTCAACGGAAAACCTCTGCCTTCAGGTATGTTTGAGTGTTTTGTGTTATTTGTTTGACGATATCTAAGTTAAATAATATTCAGATCATCCGATGAATGCATCCAATATTACACAAGTGGACCCTAATTTAGAAGCTGAACTTAATTCTTGTGCAACTAACTTTACTTTTTGTCATTTATTGTCATTTTAGGTATGCAGGTAGGAGGTGAATTATAGGGTAGTTACTTGTAATTTTCATTAAGCTCGAATGTTAAGATGCTTTTTGGAATCCTACAAAAGCTAATCCCCTCAAATGATTTCTCCTAAAATATATTATGTATGCCGTTTTTTTCTCATTGTGGTTGTAACCGGTTTCAGTTAATAGCTTTAGTTTTGAATGTTTTAAACTAATCCAAAGAAATGGTTGTTTTGAGAAGAAGGTTACGAAATTTGCTGCTTAAATAAAAACCATATTACGCTAATGAATCTCAAAAATAAAGTGAACATAAATAAAAACGATATCTTTCTTTCGGATTTCTAGACAGCAACTATACTTTAAATAGTAATAATTATTTAGTTTATCAAAAATATTGTACTACTGCTAAAATATTTGATATAGTGAGGTGAGAATATTATGTATCTGTTGATCCTATGCTATTGTTCAATCTCTAAAACAAAAAGGTAATCAGATATTAAAAAAGGATTAAGTTGTCCCAAGACTGTTAAGCCTATTCTTGCTATCTAGCGAAAATTAAGTTGCATGTTTAAATAACGATCCAGCAAAATTGCCAATGAAAAGCTGTTAAGAATTTGGGGAAAATCTTTGACTGCTGGAATCCTTTCAAATTTGAAAAAAGAATTTCATGGCTAACATTAAGCTTTTATTTTAATTTGTTAAGAAGCCGTGATTGATTAAGACCCTTAAATAATACTGGAATTAAAAGAACACCCTTTCATCTACCTTGTGATTCCAGCACGATTGTGGAGATTGAAAATTTATTGAATTTAAAATGTTATCTGGTGTTATTAAGTACTTTCCAACCAAATAAACTGGAAAGGCGATTACTGGGCAGCATATCGATAACTGGAGAAGTTTTGTAATTCTATAATGGATTAAGAAAAATTATAATGCTGAAAGAATTTATTTTACTTTTATATTTTGTACTACTGTTCTTATTTATAAGAGCTAAGGAGTATTTTTAATATAAAAAGAATTTTCTTAATTTTATAATTTCATTAATCCTTCTTTCTTTCATAGGATCACGCTACCGAACTATGTTCGACTTTGGATTTGCTGCATTGGATATTTTAACCGTTTATGCAGAGGATTCTGGTGAATACACAATTAAAGCCACAAATAGTCTCGGAACATCCTCATCTTCCGCTAGGATCAATGTTACAGGTCAGTGTTTTCATATGTTAACCAGCCTTGGAATGCGTGACTGATATTCGCATGCTGTCACTAAATCATCAAGCGTATGAACACTTTTGCTAAATTATTTAACGAAGCTGTAATTCTTATTATTTTATTAACAATCAAAATAGTAAATTTATTACTTTTAACTCTATTGGATTTTTAGTGATGAGGTACTTCTTCTAAGATATGTAAAACAAAATGGAGAAACTTAAAAAGATCTTTATGTAGAAGCCATGCCCCTTTTATCTGACTGGTCCGAGTCATGTATACATCTTCATACTTTTCGACATGATTAGCTGAGGGAATGCAAAACAGTTCATTCTCCCTCAGGGCAGTAAAACGGTAAAATAAAATATTAATGTAAGTGTAAACTATAAAAATATTTCAAACTTAATTTTTCATAATTTTATGAAAAAAGAAAAAGCTATGATCCTGTTATTAAGTAAATAAAAAAATTAATTGTAAGTTAATGAATAAAATTTTACGATTTAGATTTGAATAATACAGAAATTAAAATATATTTAAATAGAATATTTTTTATTTGACTTTTAAAGGAATTTTTATTTGATCATATTCCCCAAATTATGTATGTATAAGGAGAAGAGGCATCTATTTCTGTAGTTTATTGAAATGTTGCACAAATTTATTACTGCTAACTGAATGTTGTATGGAGCTAAATAAAGGAAAAAAATTGGGATTTTATGCTTGAAACATTTAATGATAACTATATTACATATGAAAGAAATTTTCTTTGTAATGGTAGCAGAATACTTTTCAAAATATTGGACGCGTGTAAATACATCTGAAATTTTATCTGAAAGCTTAGAAATTTAGTAATTTTCTAAACAATTGAAAAAAATAGTCAAATTAAATAATTCTTAGGTGAAGAAAACTAAAATTTACCTAATGTAAGTATAATATCAGTAAAACCAAAGGTTTTTGGCCTTCAACACGTTTTCTTTATGTATATAAAGTAGTCTAAAGTTTGTATTTATTTATAAACACAAATTACCTCAAGAAAAATATATTAAAATGCACTTTAGATACCAATCCACATGCGACGTTAAAGAGTATTATTCATAAAAGTCAAAAAAGTATATCATTTTTCAAGAATAGTTTAGATTCTTTACTTATGGGGCTGTATTAATGTGACTTTTTAAATATGTCTTTACAGCAAAGAAGAGTTTGATCCTTGAGTCTCAGCAACCAGATAGTTTGCAAAAGATCAGGCAGTTGGAAGATACAAGCCGATTTGCCAGGCCCGAGGAACCGGAGCGAATATTCGATAGGCCAAATTTCGGCAGGCCTTTGTACAATTTAGACAACTTAGTTGAGGGCCAAAGTGCACATCTGGAAGCAACACTAACTCCTGTCAATGATCCAACAATGAGAGTAGAGTGGTACCATAACGGAGTGACTATTAAGCCAGGTATTTTTTTAAATAAACAAATTATTTTTGTTCCATCAGATAATACACTAAATCATAATTTTAATTTATAATGAGAAATAATTCTTATTATAAGATTGGTAAATGACAAAACCCTGCTTTTAATTGGTAATGATTTTTTAATTATTTTAAACATTTAAAATTGTTCATGCAGCATGGTTGCAGCATAAAGCATTAGAAAATAAAATGATAATATATCAAAACCAAGTTTTGTGTTTTAGTTTATATTTAATCTCTAGTGTGAAGCGACAAAGGCTATATATAGGATAGAAATATTTGGATCTGAATATAAATGAATGTTTGGTTTTACATTTTTATGAATTTATTCTTATTATTCACTAAGAATTGAAGGCCTTCGTTTCAATCAGTGATATTTTTATGATTTATTTAACAATAGGAAAATAATACCAAATAATGGATGTTTCGATTTCTACCACTTTCACTTGTTCTTCTTTAACAAAAAGTTAATAGCTAATATAAATATTCTTTTTTATTCCAGCTCATCGTTTCCGAACTACATTCGACTTCGGATATGTCGCACTTGACATTTTACATGTTTTGCCTGAAGATACCGGAACCTACATGTGCAAAGCTGTTAATAGGATGGGAGAAGCTATCACTACATGCTCTATTAAAGTGCAAGGTAAGGCTATAAAACTGATGCTTTTTATCTGAGAGAGCGCAAGTTTAAAATATATTAATTTTAAATGATAATTTACATAAACTTCACTGACGCATATCTAGCCAGTAGTTATAACACAACTTTTATGATCGGGATTAAATTGATACTATATAATTATAAACAATCTGTAATGCATATCGTAAGATTTATAAATGTTCTGCTATTTTCCCATACCATATCTTAAATCACATATGCTTGCTGTAAAATGAAGTTCAGTCTGATAAAATTTATAGTAATATATTATAATGTTTAATATTTCAGCGGTTAAGTGAAATAAATGATAGTAAAAACTTCTATTAATACCTAACATTTTACTATCTTATTCTTTTTGAAAAATCCGGATCTCATTTATTTGTTTTAACTCTTTTTTTTAATAGCCAAAGGGTCCATTTACACGGACACTTTGCATGAAGAAGGTCTGGAGAAAATCCGTGCCTTGGAAGAACAGTACAGACCTGCTCCAGAAGAGCCAGTCATTCCAGTTTCTCGTCCTATCTTCCTTACACCCCTCAAGAGCCAAGAGAATATCAAAGAAGGCCAGCCGGTGCATCTGGAATGCAAGTTGGAACCTGTTAATGATCCAAAACTGAAAGTGGAGTGGTATGTCAACGGCATCGAGATTAAAGCAGGTATGTTATGAATAAAATTAAACTCTAATTGTATGCTTGTATATTTTGTGCTCTTCTCCTAATGTGGGAATATTTAAGGCTAAAATAATTAAGATTTGATAACAAAAATATAATTAGCAGTTTTGCAATGCAAATGTAAAAAGAAATTGTATAGAAATGCTTTAGATTTTACAAATGTGTTATTCTTTCCTTACAGGTCATCGGTTCCGAACTATCCATGACTTCGGGTATGTAGCTTTGGACATTCTGTACAGCTATGCTGAAGACAGTGGCACCTACATGTGCAGAGCTGTTAACGAGCTTGGTGAAGCCGTTACGACTTGCTCCGTTAAAGTGGAAGGTAAAATATATTTTTGATTTTATATTAAAAACCAAAATAATGAGTAATCTGTTAATTTCAAAGAACCCTTTTCCGAAAAAAAGAATTCGGCCACTGCACTTTTCTTGATAAATAAGAGAGATAGCTTTAAGATTGCAATGGCTTAGAGTTTTCTTGGACATAGACAAATGATGAAACTAAGAGTGTAACTTGAAAAATATTTGGGCTTTTTTGTATTCTTGAGTATCTGATTTTTTTTAAGAATTTCGTATTTGCAGAACTTATAAACTAGATTAGCAACTTAAAAAAACAATGTACAAATCATTTTAGCTCGCCGAAGCATTTACTACGATACCCAGCATCCTGAAGGGTTGGAGAAAATTAGAGAATTAGAAGGCCAGACTAAATATCATCCAATTGAAGTAGAGGAGAAGCCAATCTGCAAACCATACTTCGTCTCTGAACTAAGAGGTGCAACGGAGTACATGGAAGGGGATTCTGCACATTTCGAGTGTCGTGTTGAACCAGCCTATGACTCAGAATTGAAGGTGGAATTCTTTCACAATGGCAAATCGCTTCCTGCAGGTAAGGAAATTTTCTATTTCTATCTTAAACGTACTGAAACTTTCAACTGAGCTCAAAATACTCTTTTATATGATATTACCCTTAAAGCACTGGAAAAAGACATATTTTTAATCTTTAAATTTTTTATTTCTACCGCTGTTAAAATTTCGTTTCAAGTATTTGTCTTTAAAGTTATAAAAAATAAATATTATTTACTAATTATGAAAAATAAACTATTAATTATGTTTTGTGATCTCCAAGTTGAATTTTGTTTTTATTTTTCATATAGCTGCAAGGTTTCATGTTACTCTGGACTTTGGCTATGTAGCGCTTGATGTGAGTCATGTGTACCCAGAAGATGCTGGACAGTATACTTGCAAAGTTTCCAATAAACTAGGGGAAGCGACTAGCAGTATCAACATCAGAGTACACAGTAAGCCTTTTTAAAAATAAAATACATAAAAAAGTTCCGTATGACAAGGAAATTAAATGCAAACAAAGGTTCCATTAATCGCTGTGTAAACTTCTTGCCTTTAATAACATAATAACAAGCAATTCAGACTGCGTTATTCACAATTATCGTCCACACAAAACTGTAAGAAATAAAAGCAAGCAGATGAAATTAAATAAAATATTTTTAAGAGAATTCTAGATTAACGCAGCGTTAATTTATAAATTAAATGTTTCACTGCAGCTGCAAAGAACTAAACACAAATTATAGTGCCAATAACAGAACTGTGATATCAATGCATTCGGTGCATTATCAAAAGAAAGTAGGTAATTAAGCAGAAAGTATTGTATTAACTGGATCTGTGACTATAAATTGAAACAAATTACAGCTACAAGCGTGTTATTAATTTTGCGCTCTTACCACTCACATAGTCTACTTACAGGCAGATTTTTCAACTAGCAGGCTCTACCTTTTGGATATTTTTACATTTGAATATTTCTATAGAAGGCTGTGATTAAGAAACGAAGAGCAAAGACATTAAAACGTAAAAAAGAAGCAATTAGTTAAATTTATGGACTAACAACTGAAATATCAGCAACTAAATGAATGTTTATTGCACTTACAACAACTGTTTCTAATATTAACCAAACCTTTTCTGTACAATAAAATTGCTGTATTTTGTTCAGTATTATTTTGCAGTTCTGAACATCTTTCACTGAGTTCATCTTTCCTGTGCAATAATGCTTTAATGTATATTAATATATTATAATTGATGACGCTATTTTACATTTAGGTCGTTCCAGTATCATTTCGGATACACAACATCCTGAAGGTCTTGCAAAGATCCAAGCTATGGAAGACGAA